TCACTATTTCAATGTTCTGGAACCTTCCCTCCCAAACTCTATATATTCGAAGCAAAAATGTTATGACCTTGTTAACTCTAACGAAATCTTTGCTACATCATGTTACATATATTCATCCTCCATCACCCTCTGATGTATAAGTATGTCAATATCTATAATGACGTTGAATTTCAAATATTTTAGGTTGTAAGCAGCTGATGAGAACCTAACGAAGTAAAATGAATTCGTATTATTCTGCACCAACCTTTGTTCTTGCTCTCTTTAAAGATTTACGTTTAATTACTTCATCTTACTGTTGTATGTTACCGGACTATTAACAATAAGGTTGTGTTTGACTGAACTCAAGGTCATGGCGTGGTTCAGTATATAATTGTCAACCTTGAACTGTCTGCTTGGAAAGGTTAGTGCAATTTTTGAAGATAGATATCTAATCCCATCCTTTTTGGAAATCTTTTTTTATTGATTGTCAGCACAGGGTGTACCGTTTGAGGTGTTTAGTACTTTTGATATTATTTATTTTCTATCTTAATTTAGAACTGCTTAAACTGAACACAGAGTTTGTGCTTTGATATATTTTAATACGAGTCACTCAAAAACAATTCGTACTATATAAAGAAGAACGTAGTTTGACTTAATCAAATAAACATTAGTTCGTTAGTTTTGTTTTCAGATCGAATACTGAAATTTCGGTCGTTACAATTATGGTTTATCAGAGAACAATATAGTGCATATATATTTAAAAACTCGTCAATATAATTTGATTATTTTATTAACTGGCTTATTTTCAGTTCATAATCATTCAATCCTCCTAATATACATGACAGATTATTCACAATAATTTACAAACTATCATTAATTTTCAAAATGGGAACTTCATCAGTTGATTGGTACAGAAATTAACCGAAAGTTAACATCGAAATCAATGTTCAATATTATTGAAAATTTGTTTGTTTTAATGCATAACTATTATACTTTAAAATAAATAATCATTATCAATTTGATTGTGTTTGTTTACAAACATGTCACGTGACCTTTTGTTTATAGATATTTATATTACTAATGAAATAATAATAGTAATAATAATAATAATAATCATCAAAGGCTAACTATACATTTAATACGTAGATTGATGTGATCAACTTCGGCCATTTGGAATTTATTGTCTTTCATTCCCTTAATGTTCTCTCATTATATTAGATTATCGCATGAAAAACTTGTTCTCTTTATTGTAAAAAATAAGTTGATTGGAAAAATATAGTGATAGATAGAATATATTTATTGTTATATGATTTAGGATTATCAATGTTACCAAAAATTTTCTATCCACAATAGAGATAACATATTTTCAACATAATAGTAATTCGATCAAAATGAATGACGTAATAGTAAAAAATATAAGCGAAAGAACCATTGTTTTTTCCATACAGATAACGTGACATAAATATATACATAATAAAGGAGAGAAAAATCTGACTATGGTGAATTTATTTATTGAAATCATGGACCGATCAGTGTTAAGTCACCATTTAAAACCTGGAAGCACTGGATGGCCGGTTTGTTCTAGTATAGGACTCTTCAGTATCCACTATCCCGCACGCGGGATTCGAACCATGTGTTCACTAGCGGTTAGCTTCGTGAGGTAATTTTTGGAGTTCTAGAGAGAAGCCATGATCAGTGGAATTAATCCGTGTCGGATGTGAGGCAGTTACCCAGTGAAGACAATGGGAGATGGTCGCGCAATATCATAGATCGGTTGAAATTAGACATTAACACTGTTGGACGCCTGTTCAGTGGTCTAGAGGTCAAGTGTGTGCGCGCGAGACCGAAGGTTCTGATTTCGAGGTCATCATCGATCCACAAACTGATTTATGTTAGAAAGATAAATCACTAGATAAAGTAAGTTTAGAATATAGAAATATAATGATTGTTTAAACGATAGCAAATAACTTATTTAAACTAAGTATTGGGAAATATAACATTGATTATTAGTCCTTAATTAATAGAAGTAGTCATTACGGTTATACAGAATGACCGTCGTAGCCCAGTACCAAAATCTGTGATGATCTCACCGGGTCATATGAAGTTAACTCGCTAGGGAGAGCATCAGTTGGTTCAAGATGTTTCTTACTGATGAATGTCAACTAGTATAAAAACTAGATCCATGAATTTGTATTGATTGTCACTAACCATCTATAATCAAAGAAAAAATTTATTAGCCTTATGGTCACATTATCAGAAGCAGCCTACTGTGGAAGAGACCAAACCAGCTTCGGGCTGAAGAGGAAAAATTAAGAAAAGACGTTGGAAGTGCATAGGATATGCATTAAGGAAATCATCAAACTGCATCACGAAGCAAGCACTAACTTGGAATCGTAAATGTAAACGGAAAAGAGGAAAATCAAAGAACATGCTGCATCGAGAATAGGAAGCAGGCACCAAAAGAAGGGATTGTCCATGATAGAGTTGAACAGAGAATGTCGCCTGATGGCCTGTGCTCCTCCACCACGGGTAACAAGCGTAAGTAAATAAGTTATAGTCACATTGTGAAATGTGATCAACACTAGAAATTAAACAGTACAATAATGTTAACTACTGAATGATTGATTAGCACTATGTACTTTGTTTTAGCTAGTTAGTATAAATTGCAATGATAATACAGACTAATAAATCGATAAGGCTTGTAAAACGGTCATTGATCATTTCATTGAATTCAATATTAGAGACAATGAAACATTTAAGGAAAATAAAATTGAACTTTAGGATTTCACTGATTATATTATGAAAGTTCGAAGATATACATTTATTGGAACACAAATGTGGAAACTCTTTTCGATTATTTATAAAATGATAATTCACTTACTCTACATTCTAAAAATTTCTATAATTTCAATAAAATTACCATACAGTAAGGTTTACTTATAGATTAAAAACTGGGGTTAGTATGCAAATATTCTCTGGAAACGTTGGTAAAATCATTAAATTTCTGATTGTGAAATAACTAAACAGGGCAGTGATATCTTAGTTTGTTACTCGGTGAAGTAGAGTTTTCTTTACTTTCGATTTCGATTATGGTATATATCTTGTCAAGGACAGTTATGTTTATTAAATTTTCGGGTTGACGTACGATAATTACAAATTAAGGAACAAATGAGATATTCTCATACGAATAGTTCTGTGTTTTGAACCAGATAACGGTAGCTGACACATGACACTAACGATTAATTGTGAACACTGGAAGAATACAAAATGTAGTAAAAACTTGTTATTCAAGCAGAACGAACAGAAACAGTGTGAAATCATACAACGTAATGAATAAACTAACGAAAGTATAATCTTCAAGCATACAGGAAATCAACTAACTGAAAATAGTGGTAACCAATCTGAAAAGAGGAAGGAAATAAATAAGATTGATTTGGGAAATAAGCATTTGTAGTTGCCGCTCCTAGTAAGTATTACTAACAAAATACTGAATGCTTTAATAACTGTCTTAATAAATTCATCTTGTAAAATAATATGTATATGGATGACTTTCATCTCACTGCTAAATCAATAAATGTCAACTAATCAATCATGTTTCCATTATATTCTTATATTACATAAAGAACTGATTTTTTAAAGAACAATTCGGTTGTAATTACACACCAGACCTCATTTTTGAAAATTTTCTAACTGATTTATAATAAGTTTATTTATTAATTTCAATGGTTAAGATCATGAGTCAGTTGAAGCTAGATCACCATGAAAAACCTGGAAGCACTGGACGGCCGTTCCGTCCTAGTGTGGGATTCCTTAGCAGTGCGCACACACGACCTCGCTCCCTGCGAGATTCGAACCCAGGACCTACTGGTTCCGCGCGCGAGTACTTAATCACTAGACCATTGAGCCGGCAACCAACGGTGTTAATGTCTAACTTCAACTAATCCACGAAATTGAGCGACACATCCACCATTATCTTTAGTGAGTTACTATCTCACAACAGACCTGGTTGAACTCCACTGGTCACTACTTCTTTATTTATTAGTTTAAAATTATGGGACATATTTTAAGAACAGTAATAAAGAGACATAGTAATTAACACCATGAGCTGTACTGTAGTTGATAGTCATCAATTTCAGGGTAGAATGAATAAGGCAACTTGACATGACGAAAAAATTTTTTAATCACATGTAAACAACGTACTGTTTACCAATAGAAATTGTAGAGCTATTTATCATTATAATTATGCCTATTTGTTATTCAGGTGATAAAACAATATACTATAGAAATCATAATTTAAAGACAGAGATTTGGTTAATATTTACATTTAGAAATCTGGATTATTGCACAATTATTTGGTGAATTTCGAATGTCCTGGTTTAAAATTTATCTGCACTCAGGTTTACTTCTAATCTTAATTTAATAGGGAGAAAGTATTGTCAGTATGTAGCATAATGGAATGATAAATTTTATGATTCTACAAAAAAAAATACCTATCAAAATCTAGTTGTTTGAAAACCAGTTCAACGATCTCTTTATTTAATATTCATATATTTCGCGGAAGAAAAATATCTTCCTTAATGTCAACGCATAAAATATGAAGAGGTATAAATATCAGTTAACCAATATAATATCAATGTTCTTTATAGATTGAGAGACTATTAGACAAAGGTGGTGGGACATTTTAACTGCAGCAAGTTTTCTTTCTTCGTGACAAGTTCATTGTTTTTTTGGTGTATTTGAAAAATTAGAAAATCTCTTCCCCTTACCTTATCCTTTAGCCCAACTGAAATGTGATTGGTTATTTAACACTAAGCGATATGACCAATCGGAAAAAAGATTATTTCTCCAATAAATGTAATTTACTCCCCTTAAACATCAGCCTATTATACCCAATATTATATATGTATAGTCATTCGTATTGAAACTAGATTATAAATTACTATTCAAGCAAAACACTATAATTGCATGACTTTTAAAGAAATTTACCTATTCTAAGAGGAAATTATATAATTTATTAAAACATGGTTAAAGGAAGAAATACTACTACTAATAATATTACTGAGGATTCTATAGATGATTTTGGTGGTGATGATCCAGGGTAAGTTTTAAAAAAATTTCTACTTGTTTGTCAATAATCTTTAAAGTTCTTCGGTGTAGATCATTTTTGGTACAAGTCTCATGTAAATTTTCTTTCAGAGTTTTATGCAATATGTTGCCTTTATTAAAAAATGATTTCAAACTTTAAGTTAAATGTAAAGTATTTCACCGGTTTCACTAACTGATTAGTAATGTTTAGGTTATGGAAACCAGTCTAACTAAGATTTAAAGACTAGATAGTATCACATAAAATGCGCCTAAGGATCTGGTTTATAGATATTTAGGTGTACAAGTTTAACTTTATTCAGCTCACAATATTGCACGATTATCTTTCATTGTCCGTGGTGGGTACCTTACCCACATCAAACGCAGTTGGACTTCACTGTTCATTGCTTCTCATTAAATCTTTGGAAACTTCCTCTTGAAGCTAGTCACTAGTAACTACCTATATCTGTCAGCATGGAATTATGCAAATTGTTAAAATTCATTGAAGTCACGAAACGATGAGTTATTTGTTGAGTTTAAATTAAATCAGTAACTACAAATAGGTTGATGCGTCTCTCTTTAACGTTAACCTTACTGTAAAGGATATTGGTGTTACCTGGATGCCCCAAAATAAGTATGAAAACCAAGGTTTTAATTCATAACTTATAGGTTGAATTTTGAGTTTTCTAATTGCTGAGACATTCATTCACTTAAACAAGAGGATTATTGAAGTGAATTAGATTAACATTAAATTCTTCTAGCCAATAATTAAATTAAGTATCCAGCTATCTTATATATATTTATAGCCTTTAAATACTATAAAAGTAGAAAACTTCATTAGAAGCAAACAATAACTACACCTGGATTCCGTTAGTAACAACTTGAATAGGAAACTCAACTTTTTGGTTTTCTCAATAATGTTAGAAAACAATTATTAATATGAACAATACATGGGACAAGAAAAGATCATTAGTTATCATTTTATTAAACATAAATGTATATAAGACTATGTTTATCAATTGTTTGTTTTTTTGTAGGTTCTATATGAGTAGCAGTTATCCGATGTTAATTATTTAGAAATTTACTGATTGAAATTAATAGTTGAATTCGTGAGTGGTTTAAAGCTAGACCACCATGGAAAACTTAGAATCACTGGATGGCCATTCAGGTTTTCCATTGTAGTTTAGCTTTAATTGACTCATGGATTCAACTATTAAATTACTAAAATCTCTTGATAATAATCGAAATTAGTTTAAAAACGTTTGCAAATGAAATTTTTTGGTGGAGTTTTATTCTCTGAGCTGAATGGTTTGGTCGTGGAGCTTTCATCGTTCTTCTGAACGACATCATTAGCACAAACTTCACCAAACTTCACCAAAGTCATCCACCTGAGCTACAAATCTTCTCCACCATCGCAAATGAAAATGTCATAAATAATAAAAAAACATCTAATTTACTTGATTATATCTTTAATGTCTTAGTACAATATGTGTGAAATATAAAATATAGAAATATCTTTTAAAATTGTTTTGGTAAAATATTAATAAGGACATTTTCGTTGTTATATTTCATGGATATTGATTTAAGATGTAGACAGTATACGTCACTTATTGACTTCATTAAAGAAACTTGAGTTCTATGTACAGCTATTTTCTCCCAGATGAAACTTCCTAGCGAAGAGCGCACACACCTTCTCTAGGAATATAGCCAAGGATCTTTAGATCATGTAGTTTGGATTCCTGACAAGCATTACTTTCAAATTAAACGAATCCCTAATGAATAATAACTTATTTTAAAAAAATCCCATATTTTCTTGTTAGGATTCATAAATAGTAGTAAGTAATAGAATTCAACCATGGTTGACATGAGACACGTTCCACTGACAACACTAGATGATTTTCGCGATGTATGGAGAGTGTATTGAAATTAAAGATCTGGACCACAGTATTCCAGCTCGATTGTAGTATTAATAGTTTGAGTTCGTTGTGGTATAATCCTTAGAGAAGTTATAGATTCATACTGATCAGGATCCTTATACTATGACAAAACTGTAGTCCATTGTCCCCTAGTTTTTAAAGGTACCTCGAATGCAGTCAGTTTGTAATGAATAAGTATTTTATTAAAATAGTATGAACTATTTGTATTTCACTCACACCAAACTTACTACCCGTAGTATGATAGGTTAGTGGCTAAAGTGGTTCAAGTTTCATATATTAAGTCTCAGGTTCAAATATCACTCCACCTAGTTCTATATGAAAAACTGAGTAGTGTCATCAACCTTTATAGACCAAAAGTAATACTCGAAATTCAGTACTTACCTCTAAGTAGGAGATGACCTAATTTACCGACCTGAGTAAATATTTGAGAATAAACATTAAAATTAACAGTTCCACTAAAAAACTCGTTATGTAACATTCACAATTCACGACATATTAAAAGTTGAACAATCGAAAATTAATAATGGTGAAGAAAAATTATAACTTGTTGCGTAAGGCATCAAAACGTCTCCTCAACATAGCAACTAGATCAGACTGAAATGTAACGATAACTACAGTTAAAAGATATAAGAGGGGGTGGATCATAATGCTTATTCCTAAAGGAGTTGAAAACTTGTTACTTTCGCAACAAAAGTCATTCTTTTGTCTTTCAGTTGATATACTGACCTCAAAGTAAGTTGAGATCATTCTATAATCTGTTTATAAAATTTTACTCTGATTTAATTGCAGTGATTTTGTGAAAATTGGTTCATCGAGTAGGTCGTATTCGTAACAGGTTAATCCCAGTTAGTGTATCACTGAAATCGGGGGGTATTGTCTTGTCCTAGAATCACACTCTTTAAAAATGAGCATCCGTAACCTAACCATGTATTGAATCCAGGACATTTATCCATCCCAGAGAACGCTTAATTGTTAAAACCAGCGGATCGCGTCTAAAGATGAAATTGTGATTGAAGTTGAGGTTGAATCAGTGGTCTGAATGGTCATGAATTATTCATGATACCTGAAATCTTAGAGTTTGATACCTGGTGATATTGTAAGTAAGGACGGTATAGGAGTTATACACCAGGGCGGGGGTAGTTGTCCGCTACTACTATTATGTTAACTCAGTGACGAACGACTTTATTATTGATACTATCCAACTGTTTTTTCAAGAACGATGTTTCTTGTGAAATATTTTGAAAAAACGGTTAGATATACATTCTTCACCAATATCAAGTAGGAAAATTCATTTGAATAAAACAGAAATCAATATTTTACTTTTCAAATCCGAATAATGTACAATCAGTTTAAGATCAGAAAATGTTCCGAGCCTCACATTATATACTGCTAAACAATATTACTGGAAAGCACTATAGACTATGAACAAATTTGTGGATATCTGGATTTTTTTTCTAACTTAGTGGATGAAAGGTGAAAAATTCAAGTTCAAGTGTGAACATTTAAATAGATACGATAACATCCTGGTGAAAAGTTCCATAACATATGGAAAATACACTTTCTGGAATGCACTGTTAATCACAAAACATCTATTTTCATATTACTCGACTGTCACAACATAAGTGAATAAATAATCCTATCACAACTATTTTGTACAGTATTAATAATTATAACGATAATAATAACAATAGTATGGAATAATTAAAAATCCTCGACTCATTTTGATTCTGTATTAATGCATAGCACTTATCAACAACGGTTTGGTTTTACATAACTTCCAATGTATATTTAATAAGTGAAACAAGGATTCATTGTTAAATAATGAAGCAATTATTCATGAATCTCTTTAGCTATCTAAGACAAGAATTATGTGTAGATTTTTCAGTATGACTACAGTTTTAACTGGTTGTCGAAACCAATTAAAAAACAAGTAGCAATGAACAATCATTTTAAAGTATTTATGAAACATCTATAATCAGTTTATAATGATATCGTGAGTGAATTCTGTGAAAGAATCTCCAATTAAAATGAAGCAATTTTAGGTGTTTTTTGGTTTACGATGACTCTCCAGCGCAAGTTTAACCCTAATGATAATTATCCAATTTAATAAAAATACTTTATTAGGGAAATTTCTAACTGTTGTCTTATGAAATGAAATAGTGTAATTCGGCATTCAATATGTATTAGGATATGTATTGGGATCGTGGAGGCGCACTGTTGAGGAGTCATACAGTAGGACGAAACGACCGTCCAGTGCTTCCAGGTTTTTCATGGTGATCTAGCTTCAAATGACTCATGAAATATGTTTTATGCTTCTGTCGAAAAGAAATTTTACAGACGAATGGTAATACGACAGTGACTACTGATCAATACACCGGTAATTTAACGGTTGATTTATTGATTTTCTAATAGTTTGAGTATATGATGATGATCAGAAGGGGCTTTGTGGAGATTTTAGAAATTTCACAGATTGAAACCATGAGTCAATTGATGCTAGACCACCATGGAAAACCTGGAAGCACTGGACGGCCGTTTCGTCCTAGTATGGGGCACCTCAGCAACGCGCATCCACGATCCCGCACCCCGTGGGGTTCGAACCCAGGACCTACCAATCTCGTACCAAGCGCTTAACCAACTAGACCACTGAGCCGGCATCCAGTGGTGTTGATGTCTAACTTTCTAATAGTTTGAGTATATGATAATGATTAATTGTTCACCTGTTGAGATTCACCAACGAAGTGGCTCATCGTATATATTGGACCATTTATATATGTTTAATCAAAACAATAATCATGAATGATTTGGTAACCAAATTACATCATCATTTATTTTAAATAAAATGTTCATTGTTAATCATTAAGTAATTTTGACAATATAAAATTACACTAAGTAACTAAATAATAAACTAATATGAACGATATTTACAAGTAAAATATAAGAAAGGAACTTGTTATGTAATAATTATATGGTGATGCAATATTCATTGAAAATTGTTGTCATTAAAATTGATTTCTTTAGTGCGACATCTGTTTCACGATTTTTATTATGATTAGTCTTAGGAACAATAAAAATTGGAGTAAAGTGTATAATTAAACGTATAGAGAAATATCACATAATTATGTATTTAACAGTTGGTGTAAAACTATTGAATAGTAGTCCTACATTTGAGGCTTTATACATCAATATATCGAACAACCATCGTTTATTTGATATTGTTCATCAGACTTATTTTTCTTAAGAAATCTCAACTGGTTCACTCATATAGTTGAAGAAGACATCTCCAACTTAAAAGGTCTATATGCAAGGGTTGAACAGATAAGATTTTCACTGCAACGGTAATGATTCTACAATATCACTATGGTTATAATCAGAAATTAGTTGTGAATTGATTTACATCCTATCTGACAACCTTAATTCTTTCATCCAGTAAATAAAAATGTGTCCTGTAGTTTGCTACAATGTTATGGTGTAAAATAGTAACAGTCATCTAATGTCTCATACCAAGTAGATCGCTTTCCTCTTATTGAAGAATACAGAAATAAAGATTGCAATTAAATGAAGAAGTATTTTCTATTTTGATTACTTTTCAAGGAACTTCTTTTATGAGAATAGACACAATGAAATAGGTAACTTGTTTTATAAAGGCAATAAATTATAAATCTTTTTCTAAATACTGGTTACACTTGTTTTGGTATAGATTTTCGTATGTGCTGGTGGTGGAGGGGTGTGGTAAGTGGAAATGTTGATCTGTGTATGTATGTGTGTACTAGGAATGACTTATTTTCTTCTACATTGAATAGAGATTATAATTTCAGGTCAGTCATAATTAAATTCATTTGGAAAAATAGTATTTGAACTACAATTTTATTAAAATATGCTTAATTACGTGCAAAATATAGAAGTGATTTCCGAACTAATTAGTAGTGGAATCATTGTCATCATTGTTGTTTATCTTGTTTGGAATATTCAACTGACTTTAAAAAATATGATCTATTCATCATCTATTTACATAATTCCATGTCTGTTGAATCAATAAAGTGATGTGTACATTATACTCATTAAAAGTGAACCACTTACAAAATATCTCTTAGATCAACTTAAGTTTATTTCTGTGCATATTTGTAGGTCTATGACCAATTATTTCTATGTAAAGTATGGTAAAATCATTAAATGTTTGTTTTAATTAATTGGATTTAACAGAAATTTTGTTAGGAAAATCTTTTTGAGACATAATTAATCGAGTTTACATAAGTGTATGTGTGTATGCGAGTATTGTACAATATGTCTTATGAATGGTTTGTTCAAATTTTCGTTTATAGTTGGTACTGTATTTTATTCTGAGATTTCAAATAGTTCAAAGAATAATAATGGCAAATAGATGAAACACATAGATTTTCCCAAATTTTGTTTAAGTTATTTCTTATAATTTATGTTGTTTTTATCTCAACATATTGAACTCATAGCTGAAGGAATGAGAACATTTTGTATTGCCTGCTTGATGTAAGTAGTCCCAATTAAAGTTATTATTACAATAAATGAATATTAATGAAATTGAATGTATGTGTTTAACTTAATTTAGGACTCATCAGTTCGGGTTACTAGTAGTTTTTCAAGAACCGTATTGCCTTATCGACACTTTATCAGAGTAATTACAATTTGAGATAAGTGTTTATTACAAATTATGCTACTACTATTGCCTTCTTTTATATAATGTAGGTTTCATATACTTTGCTTTGGGTTATACTATTTGTGAAAGCCTAGATGTGACTGAGTTTCAACCTGCAATCTAATAGTTGAAAGTCTAATGCTTTTACTACTTACTCATCGTTCTACTCATTTCACCAAGATTAATAACACGTATTCTCAAGCCAGTACTTGAAAACAAAGAATAACAGTTATCAAAACTGTTGTGTTAATCTAACTGACTATTATAACAATACACAGAAGTCTTTTGACCTTTCATAACGTCAACTTCAACAATTCCTAATATCATGTCATATTCTTTTCATAAATCAGTTAATTATTTAAACCATACTGTAACCCATATAGATTTTGTTGGATTAGCAACTAAATTAAACTCAAATGTGTGAAAACTATGTTTGCATGATGCAATTAATCAAGTAAGGGAAATCATGAAGGTGTGGACATTTATATAATCAAAAAAAATAAGTTAACACTACTGATTAAATCCTATCTTCAATAAAAGTTTGTAAAAATGATTTGTTTTTAACAAAATACACTCATCAAGTTAGAATAATTCTCATAAAAAGATGCGGATTTCTAATACAAAAAGCAATGTATCCCAGGTACTATTTTTATAAGACTTAGTTTAAGTAGTCTTATCTATGGCTTTTCATAACCTGAGGATCTCATTAGAAATGGTATCTCTAACTTCAAATCTCATAAACAATCTTAATTTCCTAAAAGACTTCAGCTACTTTCTTCTCATTTGATTTCAGTCATCTAATATTTAACACATTGTACTATGATATCAGATTATTGATACTGTTTCTTGATTATCAGTGACCAAGGAAACATGAAAATGAATACCAGTCAACAATTAATTAATAATGTTTCAAAATCATAAGCGCTAATAAAGATTTTTTGTTGTGTTATGAAATTCTTTGAAGTCAATCCATTCATTGCTTTTTATTACATATGACTCATTACAAGTGAACAACGATTATTTAGATTATAGAGAACTCAGTACTTTCATTATTTCATCCAACCAGATCCTTTGATAAATTAAGCAGGTCAACGTATATGTTGAATTGCTTCTATTTCACAGTTTCTCATCGGCCGCAAGAAGTCTGAAATCATACTTATTAATACAATAATAAGCAAAGGTTTAACATATTATAATCCTATTTTATCTTCATTACGCTTATTACTAAAAATATAAATACGCATCAGCCTTAACTATGTTTATTTATGGAATTTCTTTGGTTTTATCCCTTCTATTATGATTGTTTTCGGTTATAAAATAGAATGAAGTTATTTCCTATTTTGACCGCTTACTATTCACACTCTGTTTTTAAATCATTATTATCCATTATGGAAATTACACAGTGAGTGATCACATTAATCAAAAATAAGGAATCCATTAATTGTAAATTAAAGTAAAGCTCAGCATTTGATAGATACAGTGTTAATGTATAAAGATGAAAAAAGTTTGCAAACTTGGTAACTAAGTGTATTTTCATGTACTTGATTTTAAGTCACAGGGTTTTATAATGTATGGTTAAGCTATTTATCTCTTTAAACGATGAAACTATAATTTATGACCTTTGATAAACGCGAAAATGACCTTGGAATGTTCACCTACTTATTGGGGTTAAATGAGGGTTATATATATTAGTGTAAGGAATTAGGATTGAAATTTACAGTTGAACGTTAGGGTTAGGAATTAGATTTAATGTTTTCATCAAGAACTGACATATGATATAATGCCAAAATGGTATTTAATCAAATGAGTGAATAAATTTCGTGCCAAATCCCAGATCTGGTATATCAAACCTGATTGGTTCGTCCATAAATTATAGTCTCGCCAAAAGCGGTCAACTCATCATTATCCAGTTGGAACTATTGATAAGTTTTGGATGACGAGATTAAGATCTTGGCGACATATATACATAATTTATTAATAGTAGTAATTGACGATTGTTTCTGTTAAATGTGATCAAATGAATTCTTTCTTGAAGTTGGTTAAAAGTGCAATTGTTTGAACTAATCAGTTCCTTAATTTAGTGTATATCATAACAGGTAGAAATAAAGGATTTTCAGTTCTTACAACCTCTCTATGTGTAAATGATATTCAGCTACTCAACCTTAATAGTTAGTGAAATAAATTTAGTGATAATTAGTGATTTAATTCAACAGATAAATTCAAATGTATTTATTATAATAGAGAATAAACTGATTATACTCATTAAGTTACAAGTGATGAAGGATAGTGATCAAAATTCAATTATTAACATCAACAATATTCAAACAAGCATAATAGAATTCATTCTCACTGCGTATACTAGTGGCTATTTGAAGTCAAGAGCTCAGTGGAAGATACTGGGTTCAGATTGCGGAATGAAAATCAATATCGAGATGCAGGCACATCCAACTGACTAGTTCTAAATAGAACTGTTACCAGCTATTCATCTTTATTAGAATCATGTTTATTGAATAGATGTTTCAATTTATTATCAAACTATTTTAATATATATATTTTTAAAATTCTAGTTCTCCATACACTTCTGGAACAGACAGAAAACGCAGACGTGGAGTAAGTTACAATTTACAAGAAATTTCAATAGATTTGTTTCACATTAGACTTTAATATATGACATTCCGATATTTATAACATACATGTTTAAGTGGAATTGGTTATTTTATGGTTAAAGATGCTAAATCCCTCATAACTATATTGTTCCTATTTTACTAATTTATTTTTTCATTTCGAGTCGTATCTTCAATATCTAATCTTTCCTATTACCACTGATACCGTTATTGCCTCGGCTACTCTAGGATATGATTTGAAAACTTCATCGCTCTGTGCCAATTGGGTATGGCAACTTGTACATACATACAAGTTCTACGTTGTAACTGACTGACTGACTAGAAATATTTTGTGTGATTACCACTAGAACTTTTGATCTCAAAAATGTTATTTATATAGTTATTTAGTATTTAAAAAGAAATTGTGACATGAGGTTTTAGAAATTACTGACCCGTAAACTGGTAGTGAACTGTTCGAGTATAGTTCAAAGACGGTATCATCGATTGCTTAAGTAAGTTAGTCTAACTTACTAAACTATCAAAAAGATAATAAGATACGGTGAAAAAGTTATTTATACTATGCATCAAAAACTGTTTGTTAGGTTGTTATACAATATACACAAACTAAATCATGATAAAGTAACTCAGGGTATTACAAGTTAAAGGTTGATCTCATCAACAATGTAACATATACATTTAGCTAATAGTTAGAATACTGAATTGCTACTTATTAATTAATCGATAGTTGAAATCACTTGGAGGACGGCTTTTAATATACATGATGGTAACTACTTCCCATCAATGTAAGTTTAAACTTATATAGAATAACTCTAGAACACCTTTAATCAATATTATTCATAATGTAAAAAATCGATTATTTGTGTCTTATATAAACCTTTTTCGCTGTCATCTGTATGAAACTAAATCTATTTCGTTTAATTTTTGTTAACATTGTGGCGAACAGAATTAATCATTATATGAACTGTAATGACAAACCATTTTTTCCTAAAAAATTCCTTAACCAATATCGGTTACTATATTACAGAAACTAATAAATTTGATTATCATTGATTTGAAAAATGTCAACTAGATAATATCGATAATGACATAAAGAGAAAGAAGTAGATAGTGTAAATGAAGTTGATAACTCATCTTCCAATGAAGTACAAATAAGATAATAATAATAATAAATAATCTTATTATAGTTGACAGAAGAGGATAATCAAATTCATGAAGACAAGACAGATATCTATTTATGACATTATCAAGTTGTTGAGAAATATCAATTTTATCTTCATGTTTTATTTGTGATACTTAGAAAGATGTTATTCAATAATATTTGATCATCTCATCATTTAAAAGTCATGAGATAAGAAAAATATGAGTTTAAATCATCTGAATGAAGGTTATGTATTCAATCCACATGCACATATAAGTCATGTATTTATTTACAATGTAGAAGTTCTTACTATATGGAATCCCCATCAACTAATTTAAATTTGTGGACTATTCTCTTAGATCTATACTGGACCATCTTTCAGAGTACAAATTAAAAACAAAAAGTTTTGGAACTCTTTACTGACAGTAAAAAATAAATTCTCTTCTTGTTTGAGATGTTAAGTCATTGAGGGTAGTAAACTGTAAACCTTGAATCTAGGTGAAAGCTATATAGCACAAAATTTAAGTTCAGAGTGTCCTGTCAACTACTTTCAGTTAGCTTTGGCGGCCTGCATGGATATCTGGGGTACTTGTTCCTGCCATCTACATATTTCAACAGGTTATTAGTTTTTGTTTATATTAACACATCATTATGCCTATTAATCGAATAACCTATTCAGAAGTGTTTATGAAAATTCTACGATCTCTCAATGTACAAGACGTCGTCGTGGCTGACAATAGGCATTGAAAGAATGAACGTTATTCAGTTCCCGATTGCTGAACAGCTAACATCTAACTAGCAATCACTCAATATTTATCGTCAGAATGAATACCAAATTCATCCAAGTAGTCACTTCAGTGGTGGTAATATATAAAAGGAAGATTGCATATAAGTATATAATACAGGAAGAAGGAATCAGTTCGTAGGAAGAGGGGAATAAAATAATTTTTATCTCACGGTCTGAGGGAAGACAGAGAGTGTATACACCGAAGCCATTGTGACCGATTTTGAGCCATATCACACATAGTCTCCAACCATTGGTTACGATAGTCACGCGGACCCCAACCAAACAGTCTGCATCTACCAATACGGATCAGACTAGAAGTTAGTGACTTCAAGGACTGGTGATACGTTTTGGTTTGGTCACCCCTAACTTTTTCCCAACCGTCTTCAACACTAGTCAGCACTGCATGTCGTGGTAATCGGTGTTCACACATGCGTAACATGTGGCCCAACCATTTCAGTCAATTAAGATTTCATTATCTAACTGGATTCAATTTACCACTAATCAAAAGAAGTCGAACATTTCTACAATGTGACTCATACTGTGCTTGTGAACTGTTTCTATTACATTTATTTCTACTAAGTTTTATAAAGAAATCAGTTAAAACTAAATAGAATTATTATTAATTTCTAATATATCTGATTACATAATGAATATAGAAGGAAAGTAAATGAGGCAATATGTTAAACGTTGAATTATTTATTAATTCACTAGAAGGAATTGACACACATGACATTGATCATCACCCAGTGACCAATCAATTGTTATTGCATCTCAGTCCTACAGGAAGTCGGTCGCGGCCCAGATAGCCCAGTGGTGACGTCTCTGAATGTGAAGCTGGTTAACACGGGATCGTATCCTTCAGGGAGCACCAGTTCCTTCAAGATTACAGGCACACCTTGCTGACGAGTACCAAGTAGCACGAAACTCGGGTCCAGGGTTTCCTGTTGACTACCTCCAACCACCATCTTATCTCAACATAGTGTACGCAATGTCGAGTCACCTAGACTAGTAGCCACATTTCAACTTGGTCTATAGCATTCGATTTGCACTAAGAAGGACTTGACATCCATGACATTGGTCATCGCCCAATGATCAATCAATTGTAATTAATTCACTAGAATTTTCGACCTTTGATTTGTACAACTGAATTCATTTCAAACCAAGTTTAATCAAAACAGATACTTAGTACAATCAGCCATGTATTCAGATATTAAATTACTCTAAAAAAAATTAAACTATTTTTAAAGAAAGTACCCAATATCGAAATGGTACACCAAGTTATTAGTATAAATAAAAATCTCTAACATTTTGAATCAATGATGTTTGTAAAATGTGAGATTCATATTTAGCAGTTACTTGACAGAACAATGTACTCACCTCGTAAAAATTTTGATTTGGTTTAAATCAATAATTTATCAAATGGTTAACAAATATAAACTAAGTCATGACAGTAAACATCCTTATGCCTAAATATATACATAACTTACCTATATCATTATTCGATAATTAAGTTTAATGTTATCATTATAGTGGTAGATAAATGATTAAAAGACTCAATTTTTACACAGTTGGTCTTAGGTTCAAACTTACCTCTGATTACTTTAATCTGAGTAATCCTGATTACGTAAACATGTACTTTGTAACCAATTTAAACTCAGTAAAAAGAAAAAAAAAGAATATTCATACCAAGATTTATAGCTGATTATTTTTTGAATAACTTTTTTTTTCTTCTGTGTCTTTTTTTCCAGGTGATTGAAAAACGTAGACGTGATCGAATCAATTGTAGTTTAGCAGATCTCAAACGTTTAGTACCAGATTCAAATCATAAACCTGTAAGTAATTCATTCAGAATTGAAAAGATATATCACTAAAAAATTCCCATTATATTAAGACACAATTATATGAACGACGAACATTCTTTTCAATAATTTCTCATCAGGTTCTACAATTATCTCATATCCAAATTAATAATCCATAAGATTGACCAGATTTAAGGCAGAGTACACCATTTAAAATTGTAATATGTGAATCAAGAATTGTTGTTTGTAATATCTTTACCGTTATTATTATTATTACACTTGATAACATTTCTGAGAAATTTATTCAGTATCCACCTCCATCTACTATATCTGACCTAATTCATATTATTCTACATATTACGTAATTTCTGATTTTTATTCCATTATTTTCTCTTTCGCCCACCTTATATTGATCATATTTATTGTGACCATTTATCTCACTATTTCATTTCACTTATAAACTGATTCAAGTTAGCAACTTCATATTAGTCAACATTAACGATCTTATTTGATTTTATATAACAAGAAGCGGAGAGGTGGTCAGTGCATGACATGGTGTCGTGGCATGAAAGAAAGCTGCAAAGGACTGGCTTGTGTTGGTCCTTCACGACTCCCTGGTTGGGGTCTGAGAGATGGTGCTACACAGTGGCTAGAGACGTTATCAGATATGGCTCAGAATAGAAGCCAGTGGCGATCCTGCAGTAACCTTCTTCTACTTTCTTCATAAAAAGTGGTTCTGTCTCCCTTACCTGAAAGATTTCTTCTGATTGTACCTTTGCGTTCCCTGATTACTAGCACATTACCTTACACCAATCTCTTCGTTATTGTTCTCTCTTTTTTGTTGTTGCGCTCCTTAGCTTTTGTTTTCTTTCTTTGTATTCCTCTCGAATTTTCATTGTTTTGTGTGGCGCATATATATTGGCGCTCTCTTGTACCAATATTCATGTGTCCAAATAAATAAATAAATAAATAACAAACAACAATTCTTAATCCACATATTACAATTTCCAAATGATGTACTCTGTCTTGAATCTGGCCAATTTTATGGATTATTGCATTGGATATGAGATAATTGTAGAACCTGATTAGAAATTATTGAAAAGAATATTCTTCGTTCATACAATTGTGTTTCAAAAGATTTATCATAATATTATATATATATATGCTTGGTATAAAATTTGTAAATGATTATTTCTTAACCGTTATCCTTATACTAATCATTCTCTGAAGAAATAGCTTACACTAAGTCACGAAACGTCAGAAAATCTGATTTTTCTACTCATTAGGATAATACAAATATATTAATTTTTTTTTAAATATTAACTATGATGAAGAAATAATTGAGTAGAAACTGTTGAGTTTGTTTGAGTTACAATATTTCTTTAAATTACAAAATCTATAACAGTTGAATAAAAGAAAATATGATCAAATTCTATTGAACAATACAAAATATATGAAGGGACATTTATCATATTGTTAAAGTTTATATTCATATATATCTATTGAGAGACATTAGATCTTATTATTCCTAAGTTAATCTAAACTGGATGAAATGTGATCTTTGTCTTTCTAAAAATATGCCATGAAAAAATCTAAATTCATGATGTAGTAGTATGACCTAAATACCTATGACCTTAATTCTTGAGATACTAGGCACTAGGCAGAATACTTTCAGTGAGGTTTGTGAACCGTATTCTTGTGTTTATTTCTGATAAATGATACAATATTATTTTAAAAGAAACTGTTATAAAGAGGGTATGCGATATATTTACAAAGAAATGATATAAATTCATTTATCTGATGAACTTTATTAGTATGGTTACAATCTAAAATTCATATTAAAAGTTTTAAATAATGTTTCCTTTTTTTTTCCCATATTCTCAGAAGGATAGTGAATTACATAGGTAACAGAGTTGTGGATAAATTAAAGACAGCAAATATAACCGATGATAAAAAATTACAGCTCTAGTAGATGCTTTTGGTGTTCTGTAAGTTCTGTAAGCTAGAAGTTTACATTGTCAGTACGAGAATTTGTTGACTTACTTACTTACTTACGCCTGTTACTCCTAATGGAGAATAAGCCGCCGACCAGCATTCTCAAACCCACTCTGTCCTGGACCTTCTTTTCTAGTTCCATCCAATTCTTGTTCATTTTTCTCATGTCTATTTCCATTTCTCGGCGTAATGTGTTCTTTGGTCTTCCTCTTTTCCTTTGGCCTTCAGGGTTCCATGTGAGGGCTTGTCTTGTGACGCAGTTGGGTGTGAATTTGTTGAGGTTATAGTATATTCATAGTTGAATTCATGAGTTGATCTAGTATGTGGAGTTTTCATTGTTGCTCTGATCAATGTTATCAGAAATTACGTAGTGTAGTAGGAAAAAGTTTATATCTGTATTTTATAAGGTTGTTTCTTCATAAGTGTAAATTCTTGTAAATGTAATGAAACGTGATGCACATTTGACAATTGCAAATAATCAATAAAAATACACGAAATTTCACTGGTATCATTTCACTTAACCACCCGAAACGAACAATAAATGACGTCGACAGTAAACAGATGCAAAAAAGATATGAGGAATAATTACATAAATTCATATTTCTTATTTACATTCATTGGTCTTACTCGATTAGAAATAATTTTGTTACACTACATAAACTTCTAGAATAATATAGGCTTTACATTAAATTACATTCATAAATTCATTGACTCTTCCGTAAATCAACTAGCTTGATTTCGTTAAAACAAAGAATTATATTTCTTAAATCGATGTTTTTAATTCATATATTTTGGTACGTGGTGCATATGTTGATTTTATTCTTTTGTATGTGTACAAGTTTATGTCAATAGTTTTTCTATTTTATTATTATACAATGTTTGCATTACCACTACTGATTATGAGTGACCTTAGAAACAAGATCTTCAAAATGATCTTGTCAATGATAAGTTTACCTATGAAGACTATGTATGTGTTTGAATATCGCTAGGTGTATCCCATAATCATCAATGTAAACAAATTTTAGATAAGATAATTTCTCTTTTCACCTGTACATGTGAACACATAGTCAAAAAATGGAGTTTTATGAAAAGAAAACATTGAGAGAGAAGAATGTTTCCTAGATTACAAAGCAATCTATGATCATATCATGTTGCGGTGATTGCTAATTGATGATAAGCTAATCAGATACCTTAGTAACATCATTATCAAGGAAGAGAAAACTGATCCATTATTATGCATTTAGAGCGTCTATGATAGGTGCAACATAGAATGAACACTTTACTGATCATTATCTATGTACAGGCCAAATGCATTCGTACTCCTAAAATCATTGAAAGGAGTTTATCATCTTACATTTACATGCAGTAGATATATGCTTGTGTGTGTTCATGATTCTTAATGATGGATGTGAAATTTTTTAATCACTGCCTTGTTTTATCTAATATTCATTCTTTTCGAATCAACTGTGAAGATGGATTGTTAATTGAATACAATCTCGGTTAATTTATAATGGATAAAAGTTTAAATAATCGTTAAATAAACTTTACAAATCTTAATATTATGATCTCAATAACCTTGACAATACTATTTAAAAAGAGAGAGGCCATCAGAAAGCTTGATTCTTAATACAAAAACAAAAAACGAATGAATCGATGGGAAAGAAGGTTCTGATTTGGTTAAGTTGTCAGTTAAATCTGTAATCAATATACAGTTCTGCCTAGCTAAGGAGAGAGAAAGTAACGTTACTATACCAAAGGCATGTGTCAATTTTCATGTTTTATTTATTTAAACACATAAAGATTAATACAAGGAGGCACCAAACAAATAGGCGCCACATAAATCACTCGATTTATGCCCGGGTGCCCAAACCGAAGCAGGTGATTTTCTTAGGATACCAAACCCGGAGCGTTCGACTTAAAGGTCTAATCCACAAGGCAGTGGAGCAACGTTAGGAGATTCAGTCCCATAGTATCCAGTGACCAACGATTGGTTCATACGCCCTTTGTTCCTTCGGGATCCTGGATCCTCCGTATCCACCAACCGGGTTAAAGCGCTGGGCATTCGGTTCTTATCCTCTCAATTTCGTAACGAACACCCCCTCCACGAGAAGGCACTGAGTAGGACTTCCCTGGCAGTTGTTGTATGCACGTGGCCACTTGAGGGGATTTCGAGAAGGAGAGCTGACTCTACCCACTCTCGGCTATAACATGGCATTAGATTAATAGAAATTAAACTCGGAATATCATCGAACTATTCAACATTGATTTCAAGGAGTCGTTAACTACTTAGAACCTATAATAAATAAATGAGCTAGAGGGTAATAAGTACTCTAATTAGTATTAGTTGAGTATCATAGTCAGATACAATTAATATAGTGTTTGGTACATATGTATATTTGTTCAAGCTGCTATTTCACATGAACACGATAAGTAGAAATCAACAAGATAATTAGTAAACGAGTTAAACTAATATAGTCAAAATTGTAATAAGAAAGACTAAACATTCAGAATATGGTTCGAAAAGATAGAATATGAAGGAATTTTTATAAATAAACACTAAAATTCAAGATCTAGAGTAATGAATTATTAAAGGGATCTATGCATAATTTACAATGAAAATTCTACTACACCTATCTAAAAATAAACTTAATCATTTCATATTTCTAAAATGTTACCTTTCATTGAAGAGAAAAATTTAATATCTTGATAATTTGTCTAATGTATATTGTCAATTATAATAGTTTATTCTTCTTTATTCAACTCAAAATAACTTTATACTCATGTATAGAGACGTTTATAAAAAGATCTTCATAGTTAACTAAGTAAGATTAATGTGAATGATATGTATTATAATGTATTAAATATTATTATAAGTAATAAAGTACACCTGCTTATCTTGGAGAAGAATAAAAACATATCACCATAGTGGAGCAGCTGGTCTAATTACATATATATATGAATGCCAAATATTCTTGATTAAAAAGGAATTTTTATTATCGGATCAACTAAAAGGAATATTTGAGCAGAATATAACTTATTTTACTCACACCTTGAGTAACAAAGAGAAAGATGATGTACAAACGTTTACACAAACACACAAACACACAAATGATTATTTTTCCTTTCCCCGTATTCCAAGGGGAGATAGAACAGTGAAGTGACAAAAAATATGACATAAAATAAATAAATTCGACCTAAAGAAAGAAAATTATGCTTAAATACAGATATATTCATAAAATAAATTACTCAAAAAACCAGATGAGAATCATGTTTGCTCGAACTTAACCAACTATGTTTATGTATACCGATAAAACGTATGTGTTAGTGTATATGAGTTACTGTTGTCTTTTACTGATTCGATTTCTGAACATATTTGTAAATGAACAGTAAAATAGGAGAGAACCATCTGCATCACATGTAAACATATTTTTAATGAACAAAATAATCTCTGATCCTTTGTTGTATAAGTTTTATTGATTTTTATGTTTGTGATTGTTCTGAATTAAATGTAATGCTTGATTCGGTATGTATTTTATTAATTTCAACTCATGTAAATTGCCTGATCGATACCTTTATGATATATTTAGTTCAATCTTAAAGTTTTCCCAACACTGTTCAATGTCTAGGCATAATCAATGATTCAGTCGTCTAACACATTGATTCATTACTGAACAACAACCGATGCCACGTTTATGAGGTTTTGAAAAATGATCAAATTTTATCTATCAGGTTGTAACATGGCCACTAGTCCAAGGGGCTTGACATTATATACCTAATGCATAGTTTTTCTGTGGTTGGAGGTAGTTGATCTAATGGGGACCACTAGTGTTTTTTGAGATTATGGCTACATGTTACAGGTGAATGCCAAGTGGTATGTAATTTAGGTTCAGAGTTTCCTTCCGAATACCTTCAACCTTCTGTGAGTTGATTTCCAACTATTTGATTACTGACAGATCTCTTTTTGTCACCATATAATATAACTGCCAACCATAAAAAGTTTAACTCAAAGCAGTATATATATGCTGGTGGACGGCCTATGCTCCTCCACGTGGGGTAACAGGAATGGCCGCCCATATATATATGGTCGATTAATTCGGATTTATACAAAACCAAGTATACATTACCATAGCATTAGTATAAGTGACTTTTTATCTTTTGGATAGCCTCTTCTATAAACTAGTAAAATAATAGTAACACATTGTTAGGAATGATAAATAGATTTACCACCATTACGGCTGAATAATTATCGTAAAATATAAATTTACTGGAACTAAAAATGTCTAACCATAGTTACAGACTTATCAGCTTAAATGTATTATGTTAGAATGAGGGGTCATAGTATGCCTAAAGTTCACAAACGAAGATCAAATGTATTGATCAATCCCCTCACCTCTACAGTAGTTTTCAATCTTTCTCCAGAGTTTTTTTTTAGTTCATGATAAAATTTACTTTCAGAAAATATGTTTTTGTTGTAGTCAAACATTTGATATATTCTCAAACCGAAAACAGTCAAATTATATTCTTCTTTTGTAGTATGGGGCTTTAACGTAACACTTAAAATTTATTAGAATTCCATAAACTATGGATCAATGAGTTGTTGAATTCTTTGTATAACACAATAAAATGTTTTCTATACTAAATAAATTTTATGAATTCAGATTGTAATGCTTTTAAATGAGGCTCTTATTGATGAATGTTTCAGTTTACTTATCCCTCGTGGAGGAGCATAAGCCTCCCACTAGCATTCTCTATCCAACCCGGTCCTGGGCAATCCTTTCCAGTTCTTTCCAGTTGCTATTCATCCTTTTTTTCAGTTTTCCTATGATCAAACAAAACGATTCTCATCTCATTGTATCCATTTTTTCTATTATTATCCAGTTGATATAGTTTCCTGGTGTAAATGACCTATTAATGAGATATATTATTTTAATTTTAACTCCTTCACTGATTAAATATTTTCATTGACTCCTTTTTTATTTAATAGGGTTCAGCCAAACTGGAAAAGGCTGAAATACTTCAACTTACCGTTGAATTTTTACAGAGACTTCATAAAGAAGGTGAGTGTATAATGGAATTCTGTTTCTTTTATTTACATGCTAAAATATGAAAATATTTCACTCATTGAATAACACTACCATAGCAACCGGCGAAAATATCGTGAACATGCCATGTTAAAATGTACCTACTATGACCCTTCTAAGCACATAAATATGCGTTCCTTTTTGGTTAAAATTTAAAACTGATTATGCTTCATTTGTACAAATAATATTATTCTATACATATGATTCCTTTTCGGAAATTTTGAACGGCTTAAGAGCCAAGAACCGTACAAGATAAAAGGGAACTTGTTTTTTAAGTGCATCTCACCAGATTCCAACCACTTTACATTGAAACATAGTGGTCATATTGTAACTTGGTCCACAAAATTCTATCGGCACTAAGGACCTAACAAATATTACATTGGTTACTACTTACTGATTGATCGAAGTAAACCTCTTAGCCCTACATGAAATCATTAGCCATTGAAGTTGTCCAACAGTAACTCTCTAGAATTTCAAGCTGGTTCACTTGCGTTTTCATCGAATAGGGTGAATCAGTCTACTCAAAATTACAGGTATGGCTTGTTGACGGGTTTTAAACAGCAAGAAACATAAGTGCGAGGTTTCATGAAGCATATCTCCAATCGTATAACATAATCAGTAGCAAATATTTTGTATTAGTTTACGTAGAGAATTCTTTTTTTTTTCAATCATTTTAAAGGCTATGTACTTGGTTCAGAAGCTCGTTCAATTGAATTACGTCGTATAGGATTTAAAGATTGTCTCTTAGAAGTAACTCGTTTATTATCCACATATGATGGTATCAATATATCTGGTCAAGAATTAAGTCGACATCTATTGAATCATCTTCACCAGTGTGAAAAACAAAGAGATTTAGAAACAAAAACTTATTTAGCTAATATTGCTTCTGTAGCCAATGCAATGTATTCAAAAGTGAATTCATCTAATTCCACTGCTACTACCACTACCAATATTGTTGGCCAACATCATCAGTTACAATGTCAATCATATTTACATTCTCACCAACAATACAACTTAAATCATGCTAACAGTTCAAATTCAGTGAAGTCAAAATATTCTAAAAACAATTCACGTGTAAATGAACAGTTGGAATTATTAGATAAACAATCAACTACACTTTCATTAACAAATAATTCCGTAAATCTTTTACAAACTAATGCATGTCATCAAAATGATGCTTATTATACTTCATCAACATTTCAAAATAGTAGAAATAATTACACATCATATCACTCAGTAGATTGTAAAATGAATGAGGAACAAACATCTCATAAATCTCCATATAAATTAGAAGATAGATACTCGGAACAATTACCTAATTGCTTTTTACAAACGAATACATTTTATCCAAATTATATGTATAATGAATATTGGAACAAGTGTTCACCATATACTACTTCATCATATTTATCGACTTCCACAACGACCACTACCGTATCTAATGGGAATGGAATTATAACATGTGAATCAAATTATTTAAATACTAATTACCATACTTTCTCCAATTTCTCAAATACAACATATTCTACCGTAAATACTAATAATAGTAATATTGGTAATTCTCAGTTATCTACCGGTCTTGGTCCAAATGAAAGTCAATCTACATCATCACCACCATTTCGTTCAACACCAGAAGAATCAGATATTGGTTTCAGTCCACATTTGAAAATTAATTTATCAAATATTGTAGGAAACGATGAAATTGAAGATGATTGTAATTATTACAATCGTGAATGTACAGGGGGATTTATAACATCAACAACAACTACAACTGTCTCCGCATCTAATATGACTGCTGCACCAATGAAGCCAATCCTAACAAAAGAATTTTACCAACAATCTCACTATGATAACAATCATGAATATGCTTATCATCAAAAAATGATGTAGGCATGAATTTATCTGGTAATTATCAATGTTCACCTATTAAATCACATCCTTACCCTATGAATAACAATGAAATACATTCAAGGCATTTATCTAACATATATAATAATCAGTACAATCATTCGTTGTATTCAAATTCTCCCAATAATACATGGAATCATATTGGTAGAACAACAGATTTAATACAATATCAAGCTAATCTTCTTCATCATTCACATGCACCAACTTCTGTACTAAACACGAATGAACGTATAAGTTTATCTACAATACCGTTATCAACAATTTCACATAGTTTCAGTTCTATCACTAATACTACTACTACTACCACTACTACCGTATGTAGTATGAATAACCGAATAGTTAGTGAATTAAGAGAATAATAATGAATAAAACGATTTTGTTACAAATCAGATTATACTTTATTAATTTATGAATAAACTTCTGTAGAATTCATACGCACAAATGCCTAAAGTTATTTAACTAGCAAAAACAGATTTTGTACAGTACATTTTACATTATTAATTCGTACATTAATAAAGTGTTTTTCTTTTTCTTTTTTTTTTTGTATTTCTTCATCTCCTATTTTCTGTTACTTATATTGTGTACACATTAATGTTACCCTTGTAAATTTGATGTAAATTACCAAAGAAATTCATTAATATTAAGGATAGAATTATTATTATTATTATTTTAAAGAAATAGATCAGCATTGAAAGTTTTCAATGATAGTTAATTATGTGACTTATGGGATTATAGATGGAGAGTGGTTGTAGAAAGAAAGGTACTAATAACCAATATGAAAAAAATTCATACTTGTTAAGAGCGATTGGTTGTGATTTTTGGCAATTTTATTTCAACATTATAGAATGATATTTAAATTTCTTTTTATTTTAACGTAACTGTCAATGTGAAACTAATATCAGGTAGTGAATTATTACAAATCAGAAAAATCTATTCAACAATCCCTATCCATTTTTATTATACTACAGTATGATATAAATATATATACGTAAACATGGACCAACAATGCTAGAATGTTTGGGATGCGTTTCTCCTCCACTCTAAATTCGAGTCTTTACTTCAGGACTGGCTTGCGTTAACTCCTGAACTAAGGATAGGGTGTGAAGTAGTTGAAGGCGTTGACAGCTTCACTAATCTTGGAAGTCTGATCAGGTTGGTGTCTGAAGAAACCTCTGCACGGATTCAGGAAACTCATTTGGCTTTTGCCAACTTACGTCACCTATGGCGAAGGTGAGATATCCATCAACCAGTTAAGGGATGAGTGTACTGCGCGGTAGTTCGTTCTGTTCTACTTAAGAGCTGCGAAGCGTGACCATTAAGAGTAGAGGATACTCGTAATTTGCTAGTATTTGATCACAGATGTCTTAAAAAACGGCTCGAATCTGCTGGGATCACCGGGTAAGTAAAGTGAGGTTAGACGCAGAGTATTAGGAAATGGTGGTAAATCAGTTGATAAAGTTGTGAATCTTCATCGACTGAGATGACTGGGCCATGTGTTACGTATGTCTGAACACCGATTACCACGGCACACAATGCTGACTAGTGTTAAAGACGGTTGGAAAAAAGTTAAGGGTGACCAAAGTCACTAACTTCTGGTGTGAGCCGTGTTGGTAGATGCAGATTACTTGGTTGGGGTCCACGTGACTATCGTAACCAATGTTTGGAGACTATGTGTGACGTGGCTCAGAATCGGCCACAATGGCTTCGGTATATACTCTCTCCGTCTTCCCTCAAACTGTGAGATTAAAATTATCTTATTCCCTTCTTCCTGTATTATATACTTATATGCAATCTTCCTTTTATATATTACCACCACTGAAGTGACTACTTGGATGAATTTGGTATTCATTTTGTTGTGCTTATTAGGTGTTGCATCTTGGATCGATGTATATGGGTCTGGTCCTACGTTGTAGCTAACTGACTGAGTGAAGTCCGATTAAAACAATGATTCGAGTCTCTTAATGAATTAGGTATCCTTCAAAACTGCATAACAGTATGATCTTTATCAAAGTGATGATGATTGGAGCTTTGCACAGAATTGCTTAGAAAAGTCTATGCACTTGAGAATAAGACTGGTAGACTAAATAAACCACTTAAATTTATACTGTACCTTAATTTATTTACTTATTAGGAAACACAATAATGAAAAACCACAAAACTCGAGATTATATATATATATATATATATATATATATATATATATATATATATATATATATATATACTACTTACTCAAACCTTTATGTCAAATAGCATATTTTACAGCAAACTGACAGAAAGATTTTAAAATTAACTAATTTTCTTAAACTTTCAGTTCATTGAAATTTTAAGTACACCATTGTTATTAATAATGTGAATATACATTGAAAATAATCATTGTTGCCATTAAAGAGGAAGAATGTATTTATAAAATTTGAACGAAAGAATTTGAAGTAAATCTGTTGTTATGTTACAATTGTTATTATTATTATCAAGTGAAATGAAACCAATGAGTTCAATGAAACAATTGATCAGTCGGTAATTTGTTAGCAAATATAAAGTAACTTATAGTCTATATGAAATGGATACCAGCTCAGTGGTTTAGTTGGTTAAGCGCCTGGCGCGAGACTGATAAGTCGTGGGTTCGAAGCCCGCGAGGCGGGGTCGTGGATGCGCACCGCTGAGGAGTCCCACAATAGGACGAAACGGCCGCCAGTGCTTCCAGGTTTTCCATAGTGGTCTAGCTTCAATTGACTCATGATCTCAAACTGTTTAAATTACAAACAAAAAGCTTAATATACTCGACTTAGCAATTGATAGATATTCAAAGCCTTGAAACCATCTATTTAATTTGGTTCTCTTTCTTTCTTTCTTTCCTTTTTTCATATTGAATTGTCCAGTTTTTTAAAGGTTTATTTGTAGTAAAATAAAATATTATTCTACTTTATCTTGCATGTAATACAATAATTAGACAAACTATTTATTTTAGCATGAATAAAATGTGGCAAAAATAAAGTCACTATCAGAATATTCATCATCATTGAATCGATAAAATTAATGGTGTTTTATTCTTGATCGAATATTAGTAACATGATTTTTGTAACTATGCATCAATCTGTTGCAATTAATATCTAATTTTCTACATGAAACATGTAACAGTTCAATATTTTATTGTTTATGTCGGTTTAAATTGATGATTATAAATTTTTAAAAAAAAGGAATTATTGTAACAAAGTAGTACACATAACTAATACAGATTTCACTAATTATTCATTATTATTCTAATTATTTTTTGTAACAGCTAAGTAAAAGCTAATCCGTGTCAGGTAGAGACAGGTATCTACCTCAGTACAATGGAAGTTGGTAGCGGAATTTCGTGGATTGGTTGATGTTAGACACTAACACCATTGGATGCCGGCTCAGTGGTTCAGTAGGTTAGGCGTTCGCACGCGAGACTGAAGACCCTGAGTTCGAATCGCGCGAGCGGGATCGTGGATGCGCACTGCTGAGGAGTCCCACAATAGGACGAAACGGCCGTCCAGTGCTTCCAGGTTTCCAAAGGTGGTGGTCTAACATCAATCGGTTCATGATCTCAATCAAAGGAATTAATAATCTCCACAACCCCTATACTGAAAAATGTATTTCATTTGCATTGAGTAAATTTCAGAATGTAACTGGAAAAACACATGAAAAAGAATATGACTTGAAGATAATTAGATATTATCTGCTTCATTTTGGTCACCCGAATAGTAAGTAAGACTTGTGTGGCACATATGTATTCGGTGCAACTTTGTACGAATATTTATGTGTTCAAATAAATAATTAAATAAATAAGAAGTTATGAATTACTAAGTCGCTAATATGAATAACTGAATTCAGTCATATTTTTACGTTAATCAATTAAGAATTTTCAGATTTAATCAAATCTTCTTAATATCACTGATGACTGAAGTTCAAGTAAAAAGTTTCAATTAAAAATCATTGATAACTGATAGAAAGCTTAACCAGTTAACCTACTGTCCCTGGGATTTTCGTTGATTGCTATTATTAACTTAACATTTGTAAAATATCTTTCATTAGGCATTGAACTCTACTATTTAGTTTCGTATAAACTGTCATGACTTTACGTCCGGCTAGTTATCAAGTAATTTATTCGCCAATCAAAATACGACTTATTCACTTTTGTACCGCACCAAACCAATGACGTTCGACCGGTATGAACAGCCTAGCGTCTTATTAGTCCCTTGCTCGCCTGGGCTGTCGAGTTGAGTCCATAACACCAATAACAGCTTCTATTATGCGATCATTTATTTCAGACATACTGGGTTTATATAACAACAAAACAGACCGCATCACACCAAAAATAGGAAATAACATTCATACACAATAAAGTCAAAAAGTGGCTGTGAACGTGGGAGACAGTAATTAATAAACTGAGTATAATTTAAGAACAGTAAATCGTATAATAATGATTTATAGATCAAAATGAAGCTGATAACAAGATAAATATAAATTCACACAACCTAGTTACTGAATAATTATACCACACATAAGAATATATAAATAATATTAGTCCATTAATAGATCTCAGAAGTTACTCGTAATTTAATCTTCGCTAGGATATAACATAGGCATTTGCTAGTTCGTTCTGGTTTGTTCATAGCGCAATTTATTAATTAGATTCAAAATATTGATAATCAACCTAGATGAGTGAGTTACAGGTCGTTTTACGCACAATTCCATCATTACGTTATGACAATCCATTTGCACATAAACTAATTGAGACTAAGTTTTGGATCGCTGCGACAATTATGCTACCTGAGTGCTTCTTATATTCACGCATCACATGAACAAACAAAATTAAATGTTTTCTTTGACTTATGTGTAAAACATTTTGTTTGGTAGATCAACAATATGCCTGGATCTTGTTCATACACTTTACTACATTAAATCACATTATTCAGTATAATTTATGAGGAAAATGAAAAAAAGTCTTTCAATAG